GATGTATGTTGCTGGTTACTAAATTTCAGTTTAGCAGACAATGGGCCAATGTAACAAAACATATTTGTGCAGGGGAGTGTTTTCGTACAAAAATAGTCCGACGGACCAAATAAAGCAGTATCGATAAACTTGGCCGGCGCGGTGACGTCCGCGTTAGTGTGACGTCATTACATTGGCCGTGATGTGATAGACTGCATGGAGACCAAATACCATTGCCAGGCACCAGCCTCCTGAACCATCTAAGGTCGAGTTCGGGCGGCCTGTTCTTGACACTGGTTTCTTGTTCTCGCGCTCGAACGGCGGGAACACGACTTAAGAACACTGTTCCCGGAACAGGATCATGCACCACCTCCCCTTCAGGATTTACAGGGACACACGGGAAAACTCGTGAGATTTTGATTTTTGAACAGCCGCAAAAAATATCGAGATGGCTCACAGGGCCGGAGACAATGGGAAATTTTACAAAATTAACAATACTCATTTTCCATAGTAAAGAAAATAATAAATGTTCGTTTTTTAAAAAGAAAAGAGTTCAGCCCAGCTTTCCAAAGTTTACTCTGAAAGAACGTACATGGATGCCCCCATGACGCATGCAACAATCAGCAATAACCGTTGTACATTCCCGGTGTTCGAGTGGCCGACTGACGAACAACAAATCGAGCGGTTCGTGAACATACGAGAACAAGCCGCCCGAACTCAGACTAAGCTTCTTATCGGACGGCAACTAATTCCTTCTACAATTGACTCCGAATTAACCAAAACCCAAATGGTGATAATGTAGTTAACCAATTACTTTGGCGCGTTCCTGTCACGTGGTGACGTCCTGGGATTGTGGGCATTTTGCGAGTTAACTTCGAATAAAATCCCGTACACTGAGTTCTTTAAATTCACGTGCACTTAACCATTTGAATTCTCCGTACACAGTGTTGCTATGCCTCATGATTCGGGCAAGCTTTTGCTTAGTTACATAAGAGACGCCTTGCAACAATACACTATTCTCAATGGATAAGAAGGGCACAAAGGAACCTGTCCATTCCAGAGATGGTGGTCGCTATGCAAAAGCTTGCCCCGAATCACGATTGTTACATATGTACAACCCGATAACTCAGTGTACCAGAATTTATTCAAATTTAACTCGCAAATCACTTATTGAAAATGCTTTAGCCAACACAGGAAGGTCACAAATCAGCAGCGGCTACTCATCCTGAGTTACCATTGGTTGGTGTTTTGCACAGGAAAGGCGTACGCTCATGAATATTCAATGCAGCTAAACATAAATATTCATTGAGCTAAACCCGAGTGTGTGAAAGTTCATCCAATCAAGTCAAAGCTTTAACTTGACTGTCAGTTTCCGGCTAGGAAGACCACAGCTGTCGGTCTACATGGACTAGCAATGTGGACACACATGGTATAACCCTTGTCCAGTCCACCCAGTAATTAGTCTCCTTGCAGTCGCTTGTTAATTTGAGTATCCGTTCTTGAATTATATTGGTAATGTGGTAGTTGACGAGTGTAAATGAAGGCTGACATCTCCAAATTGGCGCCCTGGCATGGGTCAGTTCAGTTGACATGGTTCTTTTCTTTATTATTAGCATTAGGTTCAAGTTATCCCTTTGTAACACTTTGGCTTTATGTGAAGGACATTCACCAGAACACATTTATTGTCCAAAGCCTTCGGCATTTTGGATAAAAGCAAACACTAGGTCTTCACGGTAGGCCTTCTGTGGACAGAATGGTGCATCAATAGTTCTCGTGGCATCGTATGAAAGTTACAATGCACCAATTACCATGAGACACATTAGTGTTAAACTTTATGGAGGATCGTTGTTTAAAGAAACTTTTTACTAGTGAGTGGTGATGTTGGAGGATCATTGTTTTGTAGAATAAGTTCGTAAGTGTGACGTCACTTCTGTTCAAACCACGTCCACTGTACATAAAGCTACATGGAACCATGGAACTGGAAGTTAACGCGCAACTTTAGCGATCGTCCAATGGGAGCCTGCAAATCGTGGCGCGTCCGCCTATGTGACTAAGTCACTTTACGAACCGGGTACTGTGGTAATGCCCTCTAATAAGTCAGCTGATCGTCGGATTAGTCTGTTGTACGAAAGGCTTTAAGTCTTGAGGAAGAGTGACCAGCGATTAGGTGGTTTTTATACAGGTCAAGTTCATTGGATGCAACAGATGTAATCAGTCAAGCTGCTAATTGCTAAGTGCCACAGACAGTATCATTCTTAAAAAAGATCTGGCCAAGGAAGACCGGCCAGACCAATCAGGGTCATTGTCACTCCGTCCAGCAGGGTAAGGGTCCAACTGGTGCTCATAAGTGGTGACTAGTTGAGGTCATCTGAATGCGATTACCTTTGGAAAATAAGGTAACTTGTTATCGACAGTGTGCTGGTTTGTTGGGTATATCACTGCATAATGTTCTTGTTGAAATTGACAGGGTATTTTTGTCTACTTAAGTTACAAGTCTCTCTTTAGTGATTAAGTCCCGTGAAGAGTCGCGAGCGAGCTGAGCGTGTCGTGCTTGACGAATTATCAGACTTTCCCCAATTCCCAATATAAAGTGTGAGCGGTTCACGTCCAGTATATCTCTTCTCTTTTGGAAACTTTGCACCAAAAATCGCTTTCAAGGTCTAAACAGTGACCAGGCGCGGCCAGTTTAATAAGCTATGACAAGAAAATAAAGCTGTCTGACAGTCTGTTGTGTGCAAATCGTGACCAATGTCTAGTTCCTGTCTGTTTAATTTGTGACCTCGGATGACTGGTCAAAATTAACTGATTTGATCTGGGCCAACGAGTCTAAATAGCAAATAACAGACAAAACCTTTTTTTCAATTGCTGCATTGCAGTTACTACGTGACTGGCAGATCGACACGTTTATCTATGTTCCCTTGTTTCGATGAATCAATCGGACATGTGCTCCCATGTCAAAATAACTGACAGTTTCAGCAATTGATAAATGTCAAGGGAATATAACTTAGCCAGTAGGCCTAATCTTGTCTTCTTGGCCATTACTGTGGTATTGGCGGAAATGATGTTCACCAGAGCATATCAACAAAAAACAGGTATGTGTTCAAATTGAAAATTGCATTGGAGAGCACCTGCTATTGCCTGTTTAATGTGATCGTTGTCAAGTTCGATCTTAGCTACACGAGATGAGGTTTGCCGATAATGTTTAATTGGTTGTGAAAGTTTGCGCTTCTCTCAACGGAATGATTCAGCACTTCCTTTGAAACAATTACAAGAGGTATGGGCGTACTCAAATCTTACTCTTGTCTGGTAGCAGCTATTATCAGCTGTTGTGATGTGATCAACGTCTTAATCCATTTCCGGAGACGAAAAAGGTCACATTTATAGAGTTAAGCCGAATGGCTCCATTCTAATGACCGTTGATTTGTCCCCAAGCGCGTGACCGGAAAAGCCGAGGAGAACCATTTTCAACGCACGCCAAATATGGCAGAGGCGTCTGACCAGTAAGAAATCAAAATGACAGACTCATTGATGAGACATGACGGCATAGATAGGGGCTGAAGTTGAATTCCTTGTCTCAAGGTTTCAGTTTGTTTCATGCCATGTTGGCTTGCATGAATTCTGAAATTTAATGTATGATTGATGGCGATATGAGGACATAATTATTGCTTGTCTGGTTTTATTGAATATAATTACATTCCAGATAAGGGCTAATCCGTGGACGAAAATGAAACAGAAACTCTCACAATTAGTACAGAAGTCACAATATTCTTGCATTTCAAATTCTATTAATATTTTTTCGTTAAAATGATTGTTAATTACAGTCCATCCAATATAATCTCTTCGAACAAGTATACACGAATTTTCAATCGCCGTCAATTCATTTGAACTGAATGAAGCAACTTATAAAATAAAATATCCCATCACCAGCGACAGTGATTCTCAAATTCCTTACCGTTGTCTCTTCCTCCAAATGGATATTAATTCAAGAGGAACATGTATTGTCGAAAGGAATGGACCTATTGTATTGAAGCCATACTAGGGACTCAATACTTATATGCAGCATGAGCTTTCAAACTTTCTGAACGATAGGGCTCTTTTTAAACAGTAAGCGACTCATAAAGTTTGGGGAAAACAAAACTCGACAGGAATGTTTTAGAATTTATAGTACACTACATATACAATTCATAAAAGAAAAAAGATCAGTCGTTTTAAAAATTGAAGTTCCCCTTCAGTGCATTAAGCTTTTCAATTGCCTACGTGTGTTTGCTTCTCCACTTTTAAATGAAATTTCTAAAATATCCTCAAATGGGGCAACTTGTAGGTCCAAGTCACAAGTTTCCATGTTGTCAGTGTTTTCATTAAGATATTTACGAGTAGACTGGAGCGAACACCTCGAAGTTTCTCCTCCGTGGTATATATATATGTTACAGCCCTTAAAATCCTTTACTGTCTACCATCTTTGATGTTAGCCAGTTTCAATCGGGTATTTAGTGGCTGCGGCTTTGGTTTGGCCATAAGCACGCCACGTTGACCAGCCAGAGCCAAAGACGGCAATGCGTCGTTTGATCGCGGACTGACAAAGATTGCGGATCCGAGTTTGCTCATTGCAAACAACCAATTCATGGCACTTAATGTTCCGTTAACTCTAACTTAAAAGGACCAATGTTGATGTAATTAGATAGTTGGCGCATGGCCAAAATAAAACGACCCTCGTGGCACATTAGTAGCCTTTCAATCGCCCGTCGGAACATTTCATATGTAACCCCCAACCCTCGGTTTCGAGTATTGGATTAAGCCCAGTATAGACGAGTTATGTGTTCCCAACTGCATGCAAACTGTTCCCGAATTCCCGTGTTCGTTTAATCGGACGTCTTGATTCAAATCAGATATACGGTTCGTAAGTGTTACGTCACTTCAGTTTAAACCACGCCCATTGCCCATGCACTGCACATAGAGTTACATGCAATGATTGCCGTTAACATGGAACCGGAAGTTAACGCGCAACTTCAGCGATCGTCCAATAGGAGCCTGAAAATCGTGGTGCGTCCGCCTTTGTGACGAAGTCACTTACGAATCGGATAAATTTTCCATTGGTAGCACTGCGCATTTTTAACTTTGTCTTGCGATCACTCCACTTCGGATGAACGTGCACCCTTTGACATTTATTTTCATTCTCTCTTGATCTTGTGGACCCTGTATGGTGTCTTGTCTTGCAGCCAGTACCTGGAATGGATTCTGAGAGCAAAATTCAAGTAAAAGTATCAGAGCTCTTGGCAGAGCCGACGTTGCATGGTCTGTGGCTGTGTCCAACTGCCACGCCTATGTCTTCGCCACGTCAATGCGTCCCTCAGATTGCAACATATTCCGTTGGCTTACGAACTCCGCAGCGTGTGGCCGGGTCCAGCGCAGTGTAGTTGGGATCGCGGATCATCAGCACCGCGTTCTCGTACAAATGCGAGTCCGTGGAGTCGTAGCTGTCTCTGTTTTTAAGACTACCGCTGCAGTTGCTACTGTTACACGTGGTCAGCGGCAGGTAGTCCGGCGACTCGTTCAGTTTCTCCCGGCTCCCTTGAGGTGTCTTCCGGAGGTGGCTGAGCCCTATGTACCTTCCGTGTTTGGGCGCCGAGTCTTCAACTTTGTTCATCCTCAGCGGGGTGGTCCGTTTGTTGGTGACGGCGATACGGCGCGTGGGTTTAGCGTAGAGGTACTTCGGTGAAGCAATGGCGTTGATCACCCTCTGGAGGGTGTGATGTTCTGTCTGCGCCTCCTGCACCTCCAGACAGGCCTCCTGCCCGTCTGCAAGACCCCTGTGCTTGTTTTGTCTCCTGGGGACCCTTGGGCGCATTTTGTCCATGTGTCGCCTGTACCAGATGTAGAAGAAAATTAGCGCTGTGGAGAGAGTTGTGGAGAAAGTCACCAGGGCGGTAGCGATGATCCCAGCCGTGGAGTCGCAGATCAGCGCCGGGTCGTGGTCCGGTTTGCATCTAGTGGCGTCGGCTTCGGTGCACGGCGGTTCTGTCCCCTGGGTCGCCAAGGAGTCGGAATCCCCGGCGATGCCAGTCCGTCCCGAGGGCTTGGACACGATGAGCAAGATGCGAGCCAGGTCCGTGCCCTCTCCATTCTGGGCGTAGCACGTGTAGTTCCCAGTGTCCTCCTCACGGACCTCGGAAATACGAAGTGAGCCGTCGATCTGCTGAGCCACTCGTTCTGTTCTCTTGTGGGTGACAAAGCCCCCTTGTGGGTTGGTCCAAGACAGATTAGGTTCTGGGATGCCAGTGGCGTTACAGGGTAGAATTGCACTCTTTCCCCACTCTGCCGTAATTAAACGCTTAATCTGTGGACGAAAACTACTGGTTGATTAATATTTAGATTTTCATGATTCAACAGTCTGTTATTGGGTGGCTTGTTTCAGATCGGAACGCTTAGAAGATTACTCAATTTCTTTTATCGTTTGACTTTCTCGGTAATTAGCTTGTTAGATCCCGACTTCATCGAACGTCAAATGTGGGTTTTTTACGCAATCTCACAAACATGTCTGTTGAAATACTCGCCTGATACCGTGCAGCACTTCTTCAAATGCACATGCCAAGGTAAGTTGGGGGGCCTACACTGAATACCTTTAGACAAAAGTACTTTCTTTCCAACCATTTGTGTCTGGGAATGTTATATTCAACTACTTCAAAGATAGGATTAATAAAAGTTGTTTGGATTATTTTACACACACATATAGCAGTTTTATGACGTGCGATAGATTTACCTTAGCTATTTTGGGTTTCTTGCAGATGAGGGGTATCTTTAGGTATCGGAGGTCTATCCCATATAGTGATGGAGGATTAACACAGAGAATCGGATGGCTAATATGTAAGGTTATAGACCCTCTTTCGTCAACTAATCCTCTCCTTAGAAACTCAATTCTACAGTCACAGTTGATGGGATTTCCCGAGATCCAGATGTCTTGGAGGGTGGGTAGGAGGAAGGTCAGATCTGGCAGTGATGCCAGGTTGTTTTCGCTTAGCTGTAACGTCTGTAGTTGGGTCATCCCGTCAAAACTTCGGGAATGAATGTACTGGAGTCTGTTGTTCTGCAGGGCCAGGAGGTTGAGGCTCTGCAGCCCGAACAGCGCACCTCTGTCTATTGACTTGATGTCGTTCTCTTGGAGAAAGAGCTTCCTGAGGCTCGTGAGGCCTGTGAAGGTACCGGGCTGGATTACAGTGATGTTGTTAAGGGAGAGGTCCAGTGTTCGCAGGCGCTGTGCACCTGTGAAGGCACCGCTGGTCAGCGCCTGCAGTTTATTCAGCTTGAGGATCAGGCTGGTCAGGTTGGTAAGGCCTGTGAAGGCGCCCGGCGCGATGATGCTGATTTCGTTCATGCTGAGGTCGAGGTTCTGCAGGCGCCTGTAATGGCTGAAGGATCTTTCGATCAGATTGGTCAGGAGATTACCGTGGAGGTCTAACACCCTGACGTCAGTGTGGCTCTGGGGAATGCATTTCAGCTGGCGGGACCCACAGTTGAATTTGCCGGGCTCGTCATCTTCGCACGCCGCATTTGTACACAATCGATTTCCCGCCCTTCTTTGCTCAAGAGTAGCGCCGTCTGCGTTGGATGAAAGTCCGACCAGTAACCACAGCAACGGTGGCACGATGGCTACTGCACTTGCGCACTGTGAAGACGACGGGCTTTTCCACATGATGACTGCCTGAAAAATGGAAAGAAAACGTTGGAATTATTTCATTGCCTGAATGTGCATTAAGGCTACTAATCTGAGAAGAAAGTAAATTGGTTTAAAGTAGGACAATTGGTAAGGTTATGCGTCGGGATGATTTTAAAGAAAGGCAGTTAGCTGACACGACACAATCGATGATCCAGTGGTATGAAACGGCTCTAGATAGACCCCTTCTCTAGAGAGCAAGACGTCGTGGGTTCGACCTTGTTTTTTAAAAGCTCGCGGAAAACACTGGACATGCAATCCCTATGCTACTCAACGTTGGCAAGGGACAAATCCCAACGGTGACTACTGAAACGTTTCATGAAGTCATCAAAATCCCAACCCAACTTGTTGTATGATTCATACAAACTTCCAAGGAAAATTGGACTGAAAATGTGCCAAAAACTAAAGGTTGCCGTCTTTGGGATTAAATTCCTGTGGTTGCGTCTGCGCCATACACCGGCAATTACAATTAGCAGCGGATATCTCTCCACAGAATGTGGACTTCCCCATCAGAGTAAATGCACACCGAACCAGGGGCTCGTCAAGGTGCCGAAACCAGTAACTTGATAGTCATGCTTTGACGCGGAGGAAAAACCCATCCTTCAGTGTGTTGATTACGACCTTCCGATTCCTACCGCATGGATAGGGCCGGGATTCTCAACTCCAAATTGCCCCGTAATGCCCGAAGACGAAAAGGCTCATCAGCTACAGTAGTTCGAAGCAACACAGGGGCCCAGTACCCCTGATATCCCAAAAGATGCAGCGTGGCCTAGTTGCTTCATTCTGCCTATTTAATGGTGTCAGACTGACAGCACCATCTAAATGTGGCTCAGGCCTAACGAAGTGCCGATTCTACCCTCTCCTTATCACGTTGGTACCCCGTTTGTGGCCACGGGCTCCTTTCTCCAAGAGCAGGAATCGGCAGAGTTCGCGACGCCCGCCTGCTGTTATCGCCATTGACAGCGCTGACATTTCCATAGGTGGAATATTCTGAAATATGATCCGTCACTGTTTTTGCATAAAGTGATTAAGCATGACCTGTGGAATTATGATATTTTCTGCTGTATTGAATTTAATTTGAAGCATTTTATACGTTTTGTTTCATTATTAGAGCCATGAGACAGTGGTTTTATAATCGGTCTGATGCCATTTATTGCCAGATGCATTCATTTTGTCAATTTGGTTTAGATAATATTTTCTTCGGTAGGATATTATTCGCGCGTAAACATTCAGTCCGTGAACTGATTATAATTATGTTTTGATGGTTAAGTGAGCAATGGTTGCATTTCTTTCATAGATATATTTATGGGCATGTGCATATTACCTATGAGCATGGGAATAACTTTTATGCATGCGCATTAACTCGAAGCATGTATGCGACTGGAGTCAAGATGTTGTTAAACTATCGAGAGTTGGTTACCAAGTCTCTCACGATTTGGTAGGATCTGTCCGAACATTGGACAGAAGTTACATCAGCTGAGATTAGACATATGTCTTTCACAGTTTATTGAGACTTGGTAAAATTGGTCAAGGTTTAAGTTTAAAGAGTGATTCTGACTTATGTGAGCGCAAGAAAACATGTTCGATGAAATCATTTTTATTAGCAGTAACCGAAATTTTGATTTGCCAAATCACAAGAGAGGGAGGATTTTATTTCAGTGTGTAAAAGCAGGGGAAATCGAGGATGAAAAGTTTTTAATGCAGAACACACAGCTAGTTTTTCCTCATTCCAGATTTTCAAATGTGATTACTTTAACCCTTGGGAAAAAGTGTAACCCGAAATAAAAATCATTTTACCTGGGAATGGAAACAACATCGGATGTAAGCCGCCTTATCGTGCATTGAGCACAACTCGGCTTTAATGTTCGCCAATAAAAATAATGTCCGAGTCCCATTAAGTGGAATGACAGCGCTCATCAGAAACGGAAGCGGTTGGTTTTATGGGTAATTTGGGTAATGAGTGATCAGGAGATCCAACGGCCAGTGACCCATGGCCAAAGTCTTCATGTTATTAAGAATGTGACTTTGATGGCATGAGTTTGAGCTACTCCTCACAGGGGAATATAGCAAATTTAAGGGCAGAAAGAAAACTCCGAGTTTAATGGGGACCAATTTGAGTATTGCAATGAAAAACTGATTTAGATCAGATCATGTATTTATTGCATTTTGTAAAAGAGATAGTCAGTATGATTGTCAATTTCCAGTTTTTTTGAACTAGTAATTCGGGGGTTTTGTGAGAGACTTCAATTTTAATGTGGACGGCATTATGAATTCAACTTATCACCTTTAAAATATCACGAGTCTGTCTGAAGCTTCTTTAATACATGAGTTTGTCGGTATTATACACAGTCTCAACGGAAACCCCCAAATGGTCACTCGGCCATCACCTTTTGAGCCCCTTTCGTTCAATTGGTGTCAGGTTTTTCTTTGAGTAGCAACTGTAATTTAAGTGCAACAAGCAGCCGCACTATCAACATTTTGCCCCAAAATGTCATGGACCGCATCATGGTCCGCATCATGGTCCACTTCGGGGCAGTTGGATAAATCGTCCCATAGAAAACTATAAAATAAGCATGCCCCCCTCCACATTTAAGTGCAGGAGACCACAACAGTTTGTTTGAAGGAGAGTGCTGATAAACACTTTTTGTCGATGGTTTTTAATATTTTTTATTCTGTCGGGCAGTTCGAGGCCACTTGGTGGAGCAAAGTAAATGAAAATGTCAGAATTAATTGCTATGGTGGAAACTCTCAATTTGTGTGGCTGGACCGTAATGGCAGCTTTTAGCAAACCGGAGTTCTGTAGGCGCGTCGCTCAGGCCGCTGCTAGGGCGTATTAGTCGGTTCCAATTACCTGTGCCGCTGATTGAGTTAAATATATAATTTTCTTATTGCATTTTTAATTATATTGATATTTACGAATATAAACGATTAAAGTAAAATTGTGCAAAAAAGCGAGATACATGCAGCCAGGTCTTGATTTTATATGCCAGAAACTGGTCAGTTTATCCTGGGATGAAGAGGGCCTAGTATACCACCTTTGGGACTACGTTCGTTTACATAACGTTACCTAACCTTTTAAAACTTTTTGCTGTTTGGAAATGGAACGTAAGCTCACTTACATACAAGGAAGAGCCACTGTACTATTTGCGTGGCTTGAATATTTCAAATTTCTTATTTTTTCCGTCTATAAAGACCAATGATAAACCCACAGCCTGCTCAATGATTAGGGACTGGTGTTAAATCCATATCACGTTGTAGATCTCATAATCTGAGCTTTATACGGGTGTTCCTTTAACTTGTAATCCATAGGTCAGTACTTTCATTGAGAGAAATTCAAGTAAAGATCGGACCTTGCCTCAAGCCAGAAACATAAATCCTCGGCGTTGCTTCTTCTGGAAGGATAAGAGAACTTTTCACCTCGAGCTCTTTCACTGAGTAACTCATAGTACGTCAGATTTGTTACTGTCTTCTCGAAGTTCACGTCAATGACTAATGGAGTCTACAACTACTGAAATTAAACTGTGGGATTCGAGTAAGATAATCACGACTTTGTGATCAGTGAGTGTGATGATAACTTAGATAAGTTATGATTAGGATTAAGATAGCTACACTCAGAGAACATTTGCTGGAGAGCAACTGAATCAAGAAAAACAGAGAAACACGAAGAAAATTGATCAATACGCAAAGCTAGAAAGGGCAAACTTAATCGCTGTGAGACAGGTTAAACCTGACTCAGAATTTGAGGCTTCAGCTGCTGTTTTCAACCTGACAGTGACAAATTCAACCCGAATAAAGGATATAAGCTTATCCGGACAGTGGCAAACTCAAGTTCGATGCAGAATCTGGCCAGAAATAGCTCTCAGAACCCTGGATCACATCAGTCTGAGTGAATGAGGTTGGAGCGTTCTGATCAGCTGCACCAAACTGAGGGGATATCTCTAAGCGGTTTTTTCCTCTCGGCTGGAAACCTGAGTCTTTTCTGAAGATCGGAGACGTCCCCTCGCAGAAGTTGATTGGGGAACGAGGGCGTCGGAAATCACCGACGGGGAGCACGCGGGGCTAGGGAAGGGAGGGCTGGCGACCCCTGGCGAGGCAGGCCCATGGGGGTTGACTCGGGAGGTTAAATTTGTTGAGATCAGAACATGATACAATCCTGATCGCATCACCAGCCTCAAGGAAGGCAGATTGGAACTGCAGCACCGCTCGGCTCCTATACTGTACGCTGGATTTCAGCCTTCGAGGGTTTTCTTCACGCACAATCACAATCATACGCCGATCACGTTTTCATACCCGATTCAAGAAAAAACATATCGGTCTGAAGCTTCTTTCATTGCCGAGTCATCCATCAAAGTGTAAACAGCTGTGCGTAAAGAATTGAACTGACCAACTTTTGGGCGGTGTTATGCTAGACTGTCGGTCAGTGGTTCATTAGGCCTGCTCTAGTTCCATTGGCATTTCGGCACAACTTCCCAAAAAATTTAAAAAATTCCTCTAGCATGTAAGAAACCATCATGAGATTCTCTATACATCTATTCAGTTATCAAGGTTCTTCAATTCCCATACAAAATTCCTGCCTTCCGTAGTCCTTCCAAATCCCCCTTGCGTCTCGTTGGATTTTCCAGTATTGGAAAATTAGAGGGTTTAGTGACCAGACTGATGATTAAAGTCAGTGACTTGAAAAATTAAAGCGTAGTATATCGTGCTCTGCGATAATACTTCTTTGAAATTATAGAGTGGCAGGTAAGCTCTCGATTGACCCTGAAACAAAAGTGCAGACATTTTGGTCTTTCAAAATAGAAACATGCATCTGTGTAACTGTGTGATCACCGGCGCTCCTCAGTGCTCTTCCTTCATACTTTGGAGATATCCTTGGTTTCGGTGTTCCTCTTTGTCGATGAATCAGCAGCAGCATAGCTGCCTTCCACACTTCTTTTATTTTCGGAGCTGATCTTCTCACTTTACACATCCTTGGTTTAGAAATTCCACGCTAAAACCTCGTCTTTTCATCTCTGTCAAACTCTCTCCCGTTTATTTAGATATCTACATGAGGGCCGTGTAGTATCAGTAGCCATCCACCTGTTGTCTCGGCGTTGTCTTCATTAGGTCCAGCATCCCGTTCTTTTCCCAGGAGTGTCTGTATCACTTGGCGTCCCTCCTCTGGGTGCTAATCTCGCAAAGGTCCTCTCTTATCCGACACCCTCCTATCGTTAATAGGATGCACACTATCTCGCATACCGCCGTCTAATTGTGTTCTCCCCGTTTTTCCAAGCGGCCCTTTCTGGCTGTTATCTGTTTTCCAGTTCTCCTCTGGCGATGCTGAGATCGGGGAATTCCTACTTATCTGAAATATTCTTCCCTGTTTGTAGTAAATTGTACGACTGGGGAGCATGTTATCCAACGGCACGCCTAGCGTCGAAAGCCGTCCCAGGATATCCTCGGCCGTGAAATATACACGTCTGTCTCCATCAGTCATCATGACATGTTTTTCAATTTTAGGAAACCCGAAAATGGTGAAGATATTGCTTGGGACTTAGCTCTCGGCAAGTCCGAGGCGCCTTCCTAGATTCCTCATTTCCTAACAAATCCGCAGGCTTGATAACGATTAAAATGACGCTGACTTGGAGAGGAAAAACACATGGTCTACGTTTAGTGTTCCGATCCAAAGAATGGCCTGTCAAGGTTGGATGAAGATCGGCGTGATTTAGTTAACGATATTCTCAGCACAAAATTAGACGCAAAGTGATGCTCGTTAATGGGTCGGTAATTAGTTGCTTCCTGTTTTCTCTACTTTTTAAAATTAATCCTAACTTTTCAATGAGAGACCCGAGATGTCTGATGATTTTGATCTTCATGAAATGCATGGGCTTTGTGGTTATCAGAGATGGCGATTGCAGTTCAAACTGAGTACACATGGTAGATAGTTTAATACGACCTGAATACTCATAATACAACATGCAGGAAAAACTCCAATTGTGACATATTTTACCTTTGCGGTATCTTGCCCAGTCGATGATTTCTGCACAACATCAACAATGGCCAGCTTCCAGCAAGACGTCTTAGCCTGGTAAATTTGTTTAAATCTCCCCACTTGTTGAACTGTCAACACTTTTGTGTGTGGTGCACAATCATTTTAGATCCTTTGGCAACCTTTTCCGGGCAATAACCTTTCTGAGGGATTTTGATATCCTCCAATAAAATCACTCAGAGCTGCTAGAATAAGAAAGGAATAGCCTAGATGAACAGATTTAGTCGCTCCAAGCCATCGACAATACGGAGATGATACACCCGTCAAAGTCACGTCTCTGATGATCAGCAATACTGAATCAGCGCCCTTGGGTTAGTAGCATCGATCTCATCTCCGCAGTGATGTCATATTTCGATTCAAGTGATTGCATCGGGGGTAGTCTCTAGAGTTGTAACATGCATTCATTTTGTGGTCATTTATTCACCTTGGTTACTTTTTTCGATCGGTGATATTGGTTAACAAAGGTCTGCCTCAATCGCATATTTAGCGAATGGTCTTTCTCACCTTCCTGTGCCCTTCTTCCTCGTGGAAGTCGAAATTATCTGTATTTGTCATGCTTAGTCTCCTTCACGTGCGTACATCTCTAGCACGATATTCGTGTTGCGATGATTTCTGTTTCCTATTCAGAACCTGTGGGCACTCTCTCCGTCCACTCGTAATGCGCACGTGTAACTCGCGCGTGTAGTTGCGGTTTTGTGTGTAATCCCTTGTCTTCTCTGCCGCGTCGAAGCTGTGATTTTCCCCACCGTGCCAATAAACTGAGCCGTGTTCCCTATGGGTCCAGACAGAGCTTTGGATTATACACATTCAGGCGTAGCCGTAGTGGACCAATTTGAGGAGCCCCCTCCACCACACACCTAGTACCTGGGCAATAACACCCAAATTACCTTGAATGGATATTCTATCTGTCTGAAATTGTCCACGTCCCTCCGTGCACGGAGCCCGAATGTGTGGCGCTGAATACTTCCTGAACCACCACTTGTTAGCGAGAGTTGTTCTAAATGATTCACTTGGGGGGTGGGGTTTAAAATACCAGTAGGAGGAAGCCGAAATAATCTAATTAAAGAGTTCACGATCACACTGTTTGGAGAGGAGTTAGGTATCAGGTAAGTTTGCTGTAGCCGCTGGTAGTACATGTCCTGTGTAATATTATCAACTTTGAAGCGAAAGTAATGAAGTGTGATAGCTGTTTGTCTGGAGTAAGCCCCACCCTCCCGGAACTGTTCACGTTATACATGTACTGTTTCGCCTTCAGATTGCATTCAAAGAATCGTATGCTCGGCAATACACTGCGTTCGTTTTCGACACGGCTGCATGCGATTATTCCAATACAGTCTGTCGCGAGCTATTTTTGAATTTAGACAGTGCTCTTGCATTTGATTCGGTTCGCTTCGCTTTGTTTCGATTTGATTTGATTTGATTCGATTTGATTCGACGAGTTTCTTGTCCGGATTTGAAATCTGTTTTACATGGATATAGAGCATAATAACAATTATTATTACAAACAACTAAATAGTACATCATAACAATTTATCTTTTATAAAAACTGATCAGATCAACTGGCAGAGCACTCACCACAAGCTACACTCAGTTTAGTTTAAAAGATGGTTTCAGTGCGTACTTCTCACGACGACAATGCCGCCTTAGTACTGTTTGAATCTGGAACGGATTCTAAACTAGACATTGTGTATACGTAGTCACTGGCTGTTTTTCAATGAAGAAGATGTTATTTTATTACCAGTTGACTTCGGAGGAATAACCTATTCATTTTTAGAGAAGGAAAACTACGGGTTGGCCAGCCCAAACGAGCAAACGAGGAAGCTTTAATGTTGTTTGTGCTGATAGTGTCAACTTCTTTTGAGGAATTCTTGGTGTCATTACCAGGAATGATTAACAACAACAAATAACCAACTAAAAGTAAACCCCGCAATGTGGAAGAATCACCTGTTACAAAATGTGTTTCCCTGTCACCACTGGAAGCCCGAGAGAATGACCTGCAATATGACCCATTTCCCTGATATTTGCGACAGTTGCAAAGATCAGCCGTCAATTTATATGTGTTGCACATGAATCCCCAATCTGTACATCCTGGGACCGGCTTAAACTCCATTTACTTACCAAAGTTTCGAGTTCTGCGCCCCAATTCTCTCCAGTATTACCGCACGCCAAACTTCGGACTGTTGGTTCGGTGAGCCAGGTCTAAACTTAAAGCTTAAAGTCGAGCGGCGTTTTTGGACATAGCTTAATGTGTTTTCTATTTCTGAAGACGGGGTTGAAAGTTTCTGTCATCTGAATGATTGACTGGGACCGGGCATGTTTGCATGACCTCTCGGAATCCAGGTCAAGCCGAATGACGTCATGCCTTGCAATGTTCCTCGAGCGTGTTTGACTGACGCGGCCTGGCTCTCTCGCCGACGCTGATTGGTCGATAACGGTCTGTGCGAATTCCTTCAGGTCTTGGCATTTCAGATTGAAGACCTTCGGGGTAAAAGTTGAGAGAGCTTTCTTTGTGTTCTCCTCAGTTGCACTATTACATGTGGAACGAACTTGATTCTGTTTTGAAATTGGAGCCATGGTGACGCAAAGATTGCAATACCAGCGGCAATTTTTAGCATAAAATTGGCAGTTGGCAGGTTTGTCGATGTTAAGAGCTTGTCTCACTTGGCTACCCCCAACCAGTGTCAAAATATGACGTTTTATTGCTGGAAGATCTTTTGGTCATTTTGTAAAGAATTTCAATGATGGATTTTTGAAAGTCCACTCGCGACAATATTATTTACCTGACGGGATACGATTCATGTCTGCGGCAAGTCTTTTGGTAAACTGATTAAAAAACGTGCTGATGCTGGGCATTTAGAGTTTGGATCTTCGTTCTCCAATCTCGAAGGACAAAAACGCGGCCAGCACACCGACAATACCTATCAACTGTCCGGCATTAAGAAACACAGCAAGGACAGTGGAATGGAAATACATTGGCAACTATTTTGCTCTTCACGGAAGGGCGTCCAGCAATCTTCTGAGACAACCTGCAATCAGATCAAATCAATGACAGCTAATTATGGAGAATTAGGACAACCTCCGACCATAGCTCCGACTGAACGACTCGTATTATGCTCCTAGGGTTAATATAATTGTAGCCTTGGGCTCTAGACGGGAAGGAGTATAAGGTTGAGTTGATGCCGTTACCGATTGGTCTTGTGCACACTCCGGATCCGAATCATTCGACACCCCACTTCAGTACAAGGAATGACTTCTCGTAACGGAGGCCAGTTGACCAAAACAGAACAGGCCCACGTGCGTTTCGAGCAGAGAAACAGAGAGACGGCTCAGTGCAGAGGCGAAACGTCCGCGAAGGGAGGTTGGAGCAGGACCACCCGAGGGCAACTCCTCCCAGCGTGACGGCCGTGGGCCTCCGGGCTAACTCTGAGGAGCGCGCGCTGACTGGCCTGTGGTCTCGCGAGGAATCAAAAGCCTCAGCCTCCCGGCTCAAGAAGGGCATGGGTCAGGCTAAATTTGGGCCGGGTTCATTACCGGCCTATATGGATCATTGCCAGGACAATTCGCTGATGATGATGTGTGTGTGTGGGATGCAAACGCCAGCTCATTCTTGTATGAGTGGTCACAGATGCGCGGGAGGAGTGTACAAAACTACAGCTGGGAGGTTTCCAAAGAGGCATGCGTGTCGTCTGTACAGGGACTTAATACGGGCGATTCACAATAGTGCGCCCGCAAGAGTTTGTAACGCCTTGGCCGATCACGATGCAAGAAATCTGCAGACCCAATGCGCGTTTGGAAAGGGTCGGCAATTTCCTCGCGTTGTGATTGGCCAACGCGTTGCAGACTCTTGGAGGCGCACTATTGTAAATCGCCTGTATTCTTGATGCATCTTTCATTTTGGACACTCAAAAAAAAAAAAAAAAAAAAGCGAAAGATCGAAGCTTAATGAACCTCCAAACGTTTCATGTTTTAGTTCGTTGGTTATGTTAATGAGTTTTTTTTATTTCCACGTAGTCATTAAAGTGCGTAAAGAATGCTGAATCATTTTGTTAAACCTAACACTTTTGTATTCTGAGCGATGACAAGTCATCCCAGATTTGTATTCGAACTTTATAACCATGTACATTTATTTTCAAATAAGGTGGGGCATTTTTTAGTTTGTGTGTCGTTGTTCTGATGAGGGCTTGTTTAGGGGCTTCAGGCTTGATCTAAACTTGGCATTCGAAATTTGAATATTAAAGTCCTGAGCAGATTATTTGAAAACCATAGAAACGTGGTTTTGATCAAACCAGGCCGGTAATGAACCAAACATTGGGCGGTGTGCAGTTATATTTCCAGGGTAAGATTTTTTTAAGATTTCTATCCTGAGCGGGCCGGCCGGCTTATCGCGTCGGCGAGTGCATCCGCGCACGCTAACGCACTGACCCCCCCGGAAAGTAGTCTGGTTAACAGCTTGTACAGCGCGTAATGCAATTATGCATTATCTAACTTCGTGTTTCATGACTCGAACTGTTCAACTCGTTTGCCCAGGGGATTTGCCAGACGAGTTACTTCACTCAGTCACTCCTCATGCCCTCAACCCAGAGGGACGTGACATTTCATCCCTCACACAAGAGGAGAGTTGGGTTGGGCTACCAGTGACCCTATTTGGGGGAGGAGGGGGCAACTGGGACCCGGCCGTATTTGGAACTTTTTTATATTTGTCAATATGAAGAAAACATTTACTCTCACATTGTAAAGTCTTCCTTTCGATACCAGACCACCTTTTTTTCAGTTGATTTATTTCTTTGATTTATAAGCTGTAATTTTTACTAAATAAAAGGATATTAAATAAAATGAGTTGAAGTGGTCGCCGGTTCGGTGCTTGTGATTTACGGCAGCACTACTCGTAAAAGAGCGGAAGATTCTACGGTTGTTCCTTATAACGCCTCTAACAACAAAATTGTATTATTAGATTGTATTTGCTTTTGACATTTCATTTGCATTTCCATAAGATGATAACGGGAGGTATCAAGAAGTTCCTTGAAGCAGTCAAATATTCCAGTCAACAAGCATCGACCTGATGTGCGTTTTTTTGTTCTCTCCGTTACTAGCATTCGTCTGCTGCATTGGAATTGTGCGTAATTTCAATGGGCAGAGATGAATTCAGTGTAAATGGAAGCCAAGCTTCCAGTTTCGCGAAGGAACAGTTTGCGTCCGGTAAAATTTCACAGCGGGAAGTTGTTTTCCCCTGGCGGTTGCCGCTGCGGACAGCTGTCGGCGATATCATCGGACATTTCATCGCAGTGTGCCGTATCACAACAGTTAATTGAGACGCTGACGCGCGGGCCTGTGTTGCTTTCATCGAAAAGATCCATGATCAAGAATTGAGACTTCAACAGCTTCACACATTCAGGGTTCATAATAACCTTATGACCTTGGAAGGTTAAAGTTGAAACTTTTAATTTCTTTCACCGCGTCTTGCAGACCCAGAAATCACCGTGTCTATAATCAGAACGGTGTGGTTTTGACGTCGATGGATTTTTTTTTAAACTGTGGAATAAACCAGACAAAGATTTTTGCATGCACTGTGCATGATTTCCTGTCCTAACATGTCTTTGCTGAGTCTGTGAGGAAAAGTTTTCACTAAGACCCTGATACAGGTTTGCGTTTCTCCTTAAGAAATTCAGCTGCTCTCTGCTGACGCAAAGACAGACGAAAACATTCATCGGACAAGTATTTTCATGAAGAGCACTTTTAGTGTCGGGCGCGTCATTTTGTCTTTTTTTTCCCGTGAAACATTTGTTGAGAATTTTAGTTGTATGAATTGTTAGCTCATCAGCTTCTTATGTGACGACGGCAAAGAATCTTTGGTCTATCCGTGCAGCCTCGCTTTAGTTTCAATGTGGCGACCCCTTAAAGAGCTTTAGGCATATTGTTGGCATTGTTGGAAAAGTTTTGCTGGGCTGACTGTCCCGCAATATGTTTCAACATGGCCAATCTCCCCCAGGGAGCCAGCTTGCTGGCTGTTATGACTTTATTGGAGAGGCCCAGTGAGCCGACCAGGGAGTGCAAGTTCGAGGTAGGGGGCGCATAAAGAACGACCCTGCGAGCTTTGCAATACAAGTGGGGACATCCAGGCTTCTGTGGCGAGAGTTGGTCAGCGTCACCTCCCGATGTCTTAACGTGCAGGCATCTCGATGTTATACATCTCGATGTTATACATCGAGATTCGTCTAGAAATACGTTGGAACATCTACACTGGGCATCAGCCTACCCATACGGAGATTAAGTGTGTTACAACACCCTCCGGAAGTCTGGATCATTTTCAATTATTAATTTAATACGTAGTCAAATAATTTGTCAGTTTCGATTTGGGTTACACCACCTCGGCCGATAGATCCATTACTTTACACGCTCTTGATGCACGTTTTGATTTTTCTTCCACCGTTGCCTCATGCCATATTGGATTTACAGAGTCTTGGCAAGTCTGCTGTGATTTGGGGGAAATTGATTTTTCAACTGGGTGAAAATGGTCCGTGCACGACATTTGAATATTGCGTTAGGCAGCTAGACAGGCTCGCTGACGCGACTTAAATTTAAATCACACGTTCCAACCTCGGTTGGCTGTGGGAACGACGAGCTAGCACCTGTTCGTCTTTCTCATGAAATTTGCTGAGTTCCATCAGGCACATCGAGCACGGGCAAGATCCCAGCCGAAGCCCAGCTCTGATGAGAATCGAACCACATACCAGTTTTGGCGAGCAAAGTTGTACTTGTCATGAATTCAACATTTCTTTAAACTTACCTGTGAAAGTAAGCTGATCGAGGATTTCTCCACGGAGCAAAACACAGCTAGAATAATTCTTCCACTAGGTTCACCACTCTCGTCTCTTATTATGAATCCCAGACAGAGTGACAAGTTTATTTCAAGATTTTACCAATGGCGCGTAGCACATTGGCGTGTCCAAGCAGACTTCGAGTGGTTACCTCGCGTTGGGCATCGGCTGTTTTACTCGCCGTTGTCTCGATTGTCTCTGCCCCTCTACCTGAGCACCTCCTGCTGTTTGGGCTTCGAGGGCTCTTTCAACACAATGCCGCATCTGCACCTCGGCTTCCCGCCAAATCCTCCGATAAAAAGCGCTGGTTAAACTAAGCCTCGAGTCACAGACTTCGAAAGGT